CTCATGAAAATGTGCACAACATGTTCAAAAAAGGACCCACAAGTCAGTTTTGAGATCTATGTTGAAACTCGGAAAATTTTCTAAGTCCGAAACCGGTTTTCGGTTTCATGTGTCGATGTTTGGAGCATTGTATCTCACAAACCAAGCCGAACCAGCTCGTGCTCCAATTGTGAAAATTGTAGCCCACATGTAGATCTCCATCTTTGTTAAGCGCGACATGAGCTCGATCGGCATGGTTTAGGAGTTTGAGCACGTCGAAAACTCGTCGTCGATCCGGTTGATTGCAGGCCCGATGGCCGTCTCCGTCAAAGCCGAGTGGCCGACCGCCTCAGCCGTCATTGCTTGCAGTACGCCACGCTGGAGGCCGTGACGCCGGCGTTAGCCCCACCGGTCAGGTCATCGCGACACCTCAACGCCACGCGCCCATCAGCTCGTCTATTTGCTTCGCCCGCCTTGCGTTCGCTTCGTCGATCCACGCCGAACCAAGCAGCAGCCGCCCGCCATTGCCGCTCGCTTCGCCGTCGCCGAAGCTCGCGAACCACCGCAAAAGCGCGATCGCCATCTCGCCAATGACTCCGCCGTAGCTCGCTCTACCTTCTCCACCTCCTAGCTGCGCCGTGTCGTGCTTGGGTAAGGTCGCGATGACCATTTCGCCGTCATCGCCATGGGCGTGACCTCGCCCGAGCTAGCGCTCGTCGTGGCGGCCGCCTCCGCTCCTTCTTTGCCTCTTCTAGTGCGCGCATGGGGAACCGTAGGGAGCCGTAGTGTCTACCTCAAAGGCATAGTCTCGGATTCGCCGCCGTTGAGCGGAACAACGGCGCGCCGCCGCGGCGCCATGGCCGATGGCCGAGCCGCCGAGCCCGTGGCCGGGTACTTAGGGGTCGGTGAGAGTTGGTGGTTAGGGTGTCAATCGACGCGAAGATTGAGGCGGTCACGTAGGTGCCGTCATCATCGCCGGAGAAGCCGCCGTCGGCGAGCTCCACCGGATTCCGTCGTCGAGCCGCCTCCTCTGCTTCTTTGTTGCCGCTGACCAGTGGGTCGGTGTGACACGGGTCCCACACGTCGATGGTTGTTGTTCTTAAAGATAGTTCATTTTACAGATTTGAATGCAATGTTGTAAAATCCATATCTTGAGTTTAGTAGATCCAAATTGAGTACTTCCAATTTTGTTAGACTCACTGTTAGGTCTAGTATTTAAGAAAAATATATCTTGAGCATATTATGTAGAAATTTTGGGTGAATTAAATAGGAACTTGAAAAGTGTTTTTGAATGCATGCAAACTTGTTTAAATCATATCTTGAGTTTCTGTGATCCAAAAATTATGAAATTTTGTGGGTGAGCTAGTCTTGTATAGTAGAAGCTCTGGTTAAAATTTGAGAGTCATGGCATGTGTAGTTTTTGAGTTATAGATTTTCCTTTTATCATCAGGTAATTCTTGTGTAAATTTTAGTAATTTATTTATGAATCCAATGGCCATGAAAATTGGTAGGTAGTATCCTAGTACCCTAAGGATGCTAGGAAAAATATGAAATCTGTTGCTTGACACTTTTCATTAGGGTTTCCTAATTATGCCATTTTAAGCCATTATGCCTTGTCATTTTTGTGTAGGCTTTTCTACTTGCTCAAATGGTGTGAAATTTTTTTATGGTAGTCTACTTAGAGTATGTAGTGTCTACTGTAATTTTTGTAGAATTAATGGGGCAGTTTTCATATAGGTTTACTATTTCCCCTAATTAATTAAATAAATTAAGAAAGGTATTAAAAGAAATGTTTTGGTAATGGACATCCTACTTTCTGGTGTTCTTAGGATATGTGTGATAAGATAGTAAAGTTGGTTTTGTCTAATTATATGTTTACATCATAAGTTGCTAATTATTTGTTGGCATTATGTCCCTCTGGACAGATCTGGGGACTTTGGAAAGTTCCCCATGATAATGTGGTTTTCTGTGCTTGTGTTGAATACAAAAGTTGTAGGTAACTTATGTATCTAGCTCCTGTCAAAATTTGAGGGCATTTGGCCCAGTAGTTTAGAAACTACAGCTGTTTAAAGTTAGGTTGTAGTTTTTGCTGATTCTCTGCCTTGTGTGGATAGACTTCTGTTGATTGATGAATTCGACCTGGTAAAGGTTTGAATCATGCTTTGAGGTCTAAAAATGAATTGTAGACAATTTCATAAGCTTTCCAGATTGTCTTGTTTCATGTCATTTGGAATTATACATCTCCAGTTATGGCTAGTTTAATGTACCGATATATATAGTCTTCATTTGCTGAAATACAAATGCTTGATTGAATGTGTTGCAACGTAATCGTTAATTGTTTGGGGGTTAGCCTAACTTGAGAATATGCTTAGGTGCAGGTGCTAGGTCATTAACTGAAGATGAGCAATTATACATTAGGTTGTATAAACTTGGTAAGTAAAGTGATTTGAATAGGGCTTAAGTTGAAATATGCAAACACAATGAACATGTGCATTCCCCGAGCATCCACGACATTCGTACATGTGCATCCATGATACTTATCTTGCGCATTCATGCAATAGGTGTGCCGGAGGGAGTGACGTTGCTGGAGTTCGAGGAGCCAACCAGGAGGAGCCCGAGGTGCAGGAAGTCGAAGAAGCGTACCGTCGCCGAGGAGTTGCCCGAGTGCCCCGATCACCACCTTCCTCTTTCACGAAAAGGCAAGCCCGGAGCATTATAAGTCTCCCATGTCTTTACAAATATATTGAGTATCTTTATTGTTGATGATGCATTAAGTATAGGAATTGGTTGGAACCAATTGCTGCATTATATATCCCTCCTTGTCCGGATATCGTGACTTTGGAATCCTATTTAAGTTCGAGAACGGGTTAAATGCTTAGCCATGCTTAGTGCGGTAGAAGTCGGTGATTTCTGTCACCTGCGAGATTTAGGATGAGGTGGATCACGGTTGGCTATATTTGCTATCGTGGAAAAGAACCATGTGAATAATGAATTAAGACCGGGCGGAGTCTTGTATAGGTTTGAACATAGTGACTGACTCCGTCGCATGTCGTTTAAGGACCGATCTGTCTGACGTCCTCATGTCATGTTGAACCTTGACCTAACACTTAGCTGGCCGGATAAGTCGTTCCGATCATGGGCCGAGTAGCTCAACTCGTGCCGGGAACCGTGGGGTTGGATGCATGCGGAGGTAGTAAGGATGTGCGGAGAGCCATTGGCATAAGTCCAAGGGGAGTCGGGGTTTAAGATCCCGCACTTCTGGCAGAGTGGTTCTCGAGAATGCAGTATGCCCGGACCGCGTCTTTTCATTACTTTTTCTCCGAGTTGTACCAAAGGTGACTTGTTTGCGACCACGACGGGGAAGCGGGGTTTGTGTTAGGAATACCCTCCAATTTGGATAGGAACCGATTCGAATCGCGCGTCTCTCCGGATAGTGAGAACTTGACTTGAGCTGCAGCGCAACGAGATTCAATTAATTTAACGCTATGGTTAAATGGATAATGATGATGATGATGATAATGTTGCCGAGAATTATACCTGCTATGGTTATTAATGTTTGCATATTAATCAAGTGGTTGATTAGTACAGGTGCTAATATAGATGACAGGTTAATGGCTTAAAGTCACTGCTAGTTCAGGATAAAAGTTAATCATTATTACATATGCTTTTCTGCAAATGAAAGTGTCAGCCAGATCCACTAAATAAAGCTATGCATGATCCTTGGTGTCTTTTATTTTGGTTTCCGTCGGGTAAGTCTAGCTGAGTACATTCCCGTACTCAGGGTTTATTTCCCTCTTGTTGCAGATGACCTTCTCTATCAGGGATTCTGTAAGTATTGTCTCCACCCGGCGGGTGACGAAGACTAGATCACGGGCATGATCTCCTGTTATCTTATCTGAATGCTTTTGTGGGATGTGATCAGCAAACTGGTACTGGTATTGAACTCGTGTGTGTGAGTTAAACTATTTGCTTCCGCTATGTTACAAGACTTGTTTTGTAATAACGATGACTCTGTGTTGATGTAATCTATTTGCGAACGTCTGCGAAATGTTGTAACGTACGATATGTTATGTTGAATTACTGTGATCTTGGTTGTATGCAAGTTGGTTTGAAATCCGTCGTGATTTCAGTTGACTACCGGGTTTATATGGGCGCAAGTTCGAGAATTTGATCGTTTCGGCGATTGTTTTCGTACTTGTACTCTTATAAATTGGTCGGTTCTGTGACACGCTTCACTGTAGCGCCGAGTGTACTGTAGCCCGACCATCGCCGCCTCTCCCTCAGCTCTCTCCCTCTCAATCCTAGCCGCCACATAACATGTATAACTGTATAAGCATTACTTTCCAATCTCAGACTAGTGTCATATTCAGACTGCATCTTACTATTTTTTTTTTCCTTTCTTGTTTGCAGTTTAGCTTAATTCGTACAGGATGCTCTATTCTGGCATTGTTGCTCCGTCCATTATCTGTTGGAGTTGGTTCCTGCTGGAATAGTCTCCAGACATGATCATAGGATAGAATCACTATAAAATTTATTCTGTTTTAAAATTGAAAACTCAAAACAGATACCATTTTTGCATTCAGTTGAATTGAGCACCTAGATCTCAGTGTATATGTTGTTTTGTTTTTCAGGCAAACAGAGAAGTCACAAGGATGCATATACTTTGTGCTTTGTTTAGTTAATGGAACAGAGGAGCCATGACAGCAACATTACTGCATGTTTCTCTCTCCATTCACATATCGTTACTGATGAATGCAAAACAGATCAGGTTAAATCCATCTATCATACTCAAAATTTCACAAAATTTAGAACCAAATCGAAATCATACTTTGACATTGAATAAATCCACAATTAAGTTTTTTTACTGATCAAAAGGCTTGCTAAACCATTTAAGTTGCTGTAGTTGAATATTATAAACAAAATTCATCATACCATCATATCCCAAATTAGAATAAAAAATCATAGAAATCGAGATTAACTTAATCCTCTCCAATAATCCCTGCAACAGTATTTCTGTTTATTCATACCAATTTTCCATTTCCATCATACTCTCTACAGTTTACATAAATCTGTAGGGCTTGACTTTTCGGGTGCCTGCTGATGGCGCCTCTCCATGCAGATTCTATTTTGGACCCCTGACCGCATTTGGCACATATATACAAGGAGATCTTTTCGAGGCTAGCATGGTGCTCGATGCAACTAACTAGATTGTCATCTTGCAGTTCCATTGCACCTTGTCCAAGGGCAAGTTGTATCTCCAGTCTCTGTAGCTGCGGCATTGCGGCTGGCTCAAAAGTCAAGCTTGGCAGCTCACCACAAAAGAATTTGAAGCACTTGAGGCTGTGGAATGTTTGGGGGTGGATAATGATGTTGTTCTCTGGGATTGTTTTAGCTCTTAACTGGAGGTAGATGAGGCAGGGCAACTGTGCAAGAACCTGGACATCATCACTTGGGAGCTCCTGGACCTCTAGATCAACATGCGCCAACCTGTCTGCATGCGCAATCCAATTCGGGACCTTGGGCATTGTTACGCCGTACAAGCTAAACCTCTGCAGATGCCGTGGGCGTGCCAAGCAGTTACTCCAGAATTGTGCTGATGGGGCCCTGGCACTTGACACAACCTCAAAAGCCAGATTGCAGAGGTTGCTGTTCCCAAGTTTGTTAAGAGAAGTTGACAAGATTGTTGTCTTACGATTATTTTCTGCGCCATCTGGCCTTGAGTAATTGTACATCATCACCTGAAGATTTCTAAGATTGGTCAACTCACTGAGATCTCTGATGCACTCTGGAATTAGAACCAAAGTCAAACCAGAACAGATCACGTAGGTTGCACAACTTGCTAAGCCCATTTTTGAAAATTACACATCCTGGTAAACTGAGATGCCTTAGAGATGACAAGGAACTAAAATCTGATAGTTCACTAAGATTATCCAACCATGGCTGGGACATATTTATGGTCATCAAATGCTTTAGCTTTCCAAATTTCTTTGGCAGCTCGACGCGAAAGCCCCAGACCCTCAGATACCTCAGCAGAAAGAGGTGATTTATAGCAGACACAGGCATATAAGGTCCATAGAAAAGCTACGTTCCATGTCCAAGACTCTCAAAAGCTCAACGCCCTGTTTGTTTGGGCTGGTTTGGTTTATAAGTCATGGCTGAAAGTACTGTTGATTGGTTTGGTGTGAGAGAAAAATACTGTTCGTTGGCTGATAAGTCATGGCTTATAAGCCAAATATGACCAAACGAACATGCTATCTCGAAAATGAAGGCATACAATCAGCCACACGCAAGGAAACATATGTCCGGACTTGTGATGCACTCATACTCTCGACTGTCAGGGCCATGTCTCTGTTATGCAACTGAAGATGGCTGATCTGGCGAATCTGCGAAGCTCCATTCATGGGGAACTTCCTATCGATTATAGTGATAAAGTTTTCCTCTTTGCACTTCGATATAATAAGCTCAAGCATTAGGTCGTGAAATTGACATGTCAACACCTCACCAAAATCATCTTCATTGAAGCAAGGTTGGATCATACTTCTGTTGATGAGTTCATTGAAACAGCTTACAGCAGCTTCCTGCATATCTAAACCATGCTTTTCCCTAACAAATCCTTCAGCTATCCATTTTCTTACCAATTCATACTTGCGGATTTGATAATCTTCAGGATACGTACCAAGATACAACAAGCATGTCTTGAGCATGACTTAACACATGCCTCATCCATTCTAGTGTAGGATTTGTGTACAACTCGGAACCCAACGAATTATGTATCTTCTCCCATATGTCAACGTGCATGTGGTTAGCCAAAAGGCTAGCAATACTAGTAATTGCCAATGGTACCCCTTTACATTTCCTTAACATGTCATGTGAAATCTCTCTGAATTGCTCAGGACAACTATCTTCTGTATCAAATAGCCTTTTGAAAAACAACCTTCTTGAGTGAAGCTCATTAAGAGGTTGGATCTGGTATACATGGCCTTGACTTAGAAAGCAACAAGATGCACCAACGTCTTGAATACGTGTGGTAGTTATCACTCTGCTGGCATTATTATTTTCCACAAAAGTGCACTCAATAGTGCGCCAATCCTTGATGCTCCATAAGTCATCAATTATGATGAAGTACCTGCAAAGTAAGTAACTTTTGAGTCTATCCCGTTTGCAACACAATATGATGAAGTAAATATGAGTAATACGTCACTTAAATAAGAAGAAAACTTATGTTTTTGTCACTTAAATATGAGTAATACGTCACTTAAATAAGAAGAAAACTTAAGTTTACAGAAAAATATATTACCATAAACTCCAGATGAATACATACCTCTTATCGTTGAGCGTAGCTCTTAGTATCTCAATAAGCTTTTGGACATCATCTTCCATTTCCGTGTCACCATATCCAACTCCAGACAGTATTCCCTTGAGAATCTTTGGCATGTGAGGAGTTCTAGAGACGGTCACGAACGCCGTGCACTCAAACTCATTCTTGATTTTAGAGTACTCTTGGTTTGCAAGAGTTGTCTTGCCGAGGCCACCGAAACCGACGATGGATAGCACTTTAAATTGTCGAGAACAATGACGGTCATCTTCTCCCATCAACCGTTCGATGATTTCCTCTCGTGGACCATCAACGCCCACCAGCCTCTTTGCATCCTCAAACAGTGCAGGCAGCCTTGGATCGACTTCCACCACTCTAGACTCTGAGATGGATCCATCGATCCTGTATCTCTCTCGGCTTTGACTCTGCTCCTCAACACGAGCTCTGAGCTCCTGAATCTTGTCAGCAAACTGGTAGTGCAGCCGCAGCTCCCTAGCCTTGCCAACAATCCTGCGAAATAAGCCATCCTGCTTGTCGTCGTCTTCTTGGCCAAGCTTGAGCATGAAGATGTCGATGGCATCCTCGATATCATAGGCCATCTCGCGAACCTTGTCTCTCCACACCTTTGCTTGGGCATCAAGCTTCACCATGTCTGCTAGCTTCTCTAATGCGGCGTTCATGTCGGTCAGCTCACGGCGGAGGAAGTCGATATCCCTTCGGACTCCCTTGCGTTGCTTGTACTGGTCAGTGAGCAGGTCCGATAGCTTGGAGAGGAGTGAGCTCAGCGCCCCAGTGGCAGCACTCACCAGTCACCACCATGCCCGCCATCTCGATCAACCTCGCTCGTAGCTGGCAGCGACAATGGTGCTAATTAGGGGAGGAGATGTGAGGATAGTAGGTACTCAGAGAACTTATCTCAAAAGCTGAGGCAACCAAGTTGACTTTGAGCTTCTCAAGGATGAGTCGATCTGTTACCATCGCCTGTTGTTTAGACCACAAAATCCTCACCCACGGGCCACGCCGCACACGGCACACCACCTGCAATCAACGACTCCACAAGAGGTGGATGGGAGGTGCCAGCGTTCAGTGGCTCTGGCAATTGAAGCAGCGAGCAAGCACTTGGTCGTCGTGACTTGTTGCCTGTTTGCTTGAGCTTATCAGGCAGTTTATCAGCTAAAATTTATTGTTTTTTTTTTCACAAAACAGCTTTAGCCGACTTATCCGTCGGCTTTAATACCAGTCGAAGAGCCCTGTGAGATTCGCATCTCAGACTTTTAGCATCAAAGTTGACACTCTATAACATTAGCCCCTGTTTCCATTCATTCACAGCATAGATTTTTAGCATTTGAACGGCCTTGAAAGTTTTTTATGGTTGCAGTTATGTGCATCAAAATAAAATCCTATGTGGTAATAATTAATATATCTTTTATTGTGCTAACTATTCGTACATCATAAACACTCACTCAAGTAACACCAGCAGCAATCGGTTGTTAAAGTAAGTTCACAAATTATGCATGGGTCGTTTTGTTAGACTGCTTTCTGAACACATAGCAAGGAAAAGCGACGCCGAAAAGGCTTTCTACTATGTTCTTCAGAGTCATTTGAGAGGCAGGTGTCGAACGGCTCACTCCGCTGCATCTTGTAGCCACATGCGCAGACAAGCGCAGGTCGGGCCCTCTGCTTTGTGTTATCTAGTCACCATTATTGCAGAACAGAACAAATTTGTACTAAGACTAGATGAGTAGAATTGTATATATAGTTTGCCACTACAACTCAACAAAGAGAGTTCAGATTTACCATCTTCTATACATAGCTCCGACCAACGCTGGTGTCTCTGACTGTGTGTACGCTCTGTTCTTTCTTTTCTTCTATCTCTAACCATAGTATATGGTCGGATAACGCTTGTTCGTAGTCGGCACAGCTAGTGAGTGCTCAACAACACTAGCGGATGCTCGGTAAGACTAGTAAGTGGTCAATTCACCTGAGCCAGTGATCCTATAGGCTAACACGTTTGCACCCCCCTTTTTTTTTGCAAAGTGATACTAATGTGACGTGAATGCGAGCTGTTTGTTTTGCAATTCTATGGGCTTCATGGGAGCTTGCAGATATGGCATTTTGTGTTCGGGTGCAGCAAAATTTGCTCATAAGCTGGGAGCCTGGGAGGCCTACGGATATCGGAATCAGACAGAGCCAGAAACAAGGACGGACTTCTGTAGAGTGGTCCTCTTATCAAGCTTTTCTCGGATGGCCTCCAACGTGTCTGAACTCAAGTGGGAAAATTAATGATCTCATCAGCCGACTAAATTGGGTATCAACATACACTATGTTCTACATTACACCATAGGATAATTCTGTTGTCACTAGAAACCCTGGAGTGCAGGAATGTGAATGGTACTATAAACTAGTATTCTTATAACCAGTATAAACCTGTTCCCTGCTATCATTTGCTTTCAAACGGTGCAAATTGCAAGAGACGGGCGCCAAAAAAGAGAGAGGAAAATTAGGCTTTTCAGCTGAGGGTAGCTATGTGTATGTACGCCAAAATGGCTTAGTATGCACATGATGTTGCTGATCACTCTTTGTTTGCGCCAAGGACCAGGGATTTCAGTTCTGGCATCAGCCTTTCTTCCAGATCTTCCTTCCTTTCTCGCATTCGGTCTGATGTGCAATCTTCTTCCTACAGGACAAAGACACGATACAAGTTCATGGTTTAACTTCGTTCCCCGTCCTAGAAGATTGTGCATTATTCAAACGTCATGCTCATGCATGAATACTGAATAAACGTGCAGAATAATGTACAATGGCAGCCAGTAAAAATATATGGTTGTGCTAGATTGCTAGAGGATGCACTTGTGTATGCGCAAGCTGTGGTGCTTAAGCGTATGTGGCCTCATAATCACAAAGGTTAAGCTAATGAATATTTACCACCTACAGCATGGCTTTTCAAATAGATCGATCTGGGGATCTATAAAGTTTCAGCATTATGTATGCACTACAAGTTTCAAGCCAGGATCAAATACCTATTGCAAAAAAATATCAATACTTTTCCTCCAATGCAAAAGCATGAATAAGTAGATATAAGTTTGCAATTGTGTAAGTGGACTTACATCGTCAGTAGCAGCAGCTTGTAGTGCTAGAAGTTTCACAGTAGTGCTGTGATAATCAGCCAATACCTTGTAGGTAGAAGCTGGCAGCTTATCCTGCAAAATGGAGAAGAGTGGTACAATCACACACACAGATTTTGCTTTCATGAAAATTTAATCTGAATATGAAAAATACCGCATCACATAAGTTCAAACATCTACTAAAAAAAGCTTAACTGATCATGGCAAAAATGAACTGGGAGGGGGGAGATTTCTCGAACCTATTTCAATGGATTATATGCATATGGAGATGATTTCCAAACTTTGAAATATAATTGATAAGTTAGAAGACTTTTTTAAACCAGACAGTTTCTAGCAAACAGAGAGGGAATGCATGTTCAATGGGTCCTAGTATTTAATCCTCATTTATGCACTGTGCAAAGAAATACATAAGGTCTTATGAAAGTATGCCCTTTCTACTGTGAGAAGCGACTCTTCCTCTCTGTGCACTCATGCAAAGAAAGGAAGTGACCAATAGCTGGCTAGCCAATTTCAAAACGGCATTTTTTTCCTTATTTGTTGATGAATAAACAAAGCTAAGTTGAGTACATAACACACAACACATTGTACAAGCTGATTTTCCCAGGGGAAACAAAAAATTAAGAAAGAAGTTCATTATAAGAGATGTGGGACAAAAATTCTTCTGGAAGTCAAATGACAAATATGCAGTTCAATATGTCAAACAAATAGATCATCAATCTACCATCTTTAATTACTATTGCTACAGAAGATGATGTTCTGCCAGAACTACATTAGAATGTCTAACAAGAAATGGAAGTGAGTACTTGTAATTACCTTCAGCAGTGTGATAACAGCACCAACAGCCCTTCCTGGTGCCTGAAGAGCCTTATTATATGCCTACAAAATATTAAAACAGGTTGCAAATGAGATCAATATGACAATATAGAATGACGAATTGAGAAATAAAAAGGAGAAAATATATAATCAAACTAACCTGCAGAAAAAGTAAAGCAACGACTTTTGGAAGAAAGGAAACAGGATCGTTCTCTGATGAAACTTGAACTGTCAAGTCCTTCATTGCATATATTAAAGTGTCAAATATTAGAAATAGAAACTCTAGGCATAAAAGCAATTAAAATGCCAGGCAAATACCATATTCTTTGTTCAGTACACTGTATTACTATATTGGAATAGTTTTTTTTCCACACGCAACACCTCAGTAGTTTAAACTCATCATCGTATCAATCTAACAATCTTTGTAATATGATCAGAGATTTTGTGTTATGGACTTATGGTACTTGTGCTTGCACTATTTCCAAGCTAAATACATAAGAAGCAGTGTATGCTCATGGAGTGATGGAGATACTAATACTAATACGTAGATATTAGCAAATTATTATTAAGCCAGATACAGAAAATTCAAACAAACAGGGGAACAAAGAAAAAAAGAAACTACAGTACATCAGTTTTGAAACCCCTACAAGAAAGGTTCCAGCTTTCCCATAGTTTGCTAAATTTTCAATTTGAACTTTTCATAGTTTGATTTTGGGGCATACGCATACCTAATGAATTGGCAGATCAAATAGGATGGATGTGGTTTAGGGCATGATCTCACTAAAATTTGGAAACCTGTTCAGGGACTGGTTACAAGGAACCAACTGGTTCAAGCCAGTTCTCTGAACCCTGTTGTGCAGTCCAGAAAGCGAAAAACATACCTTGCGATAGGAATGCAACATTGTCCTCTCTAATCTTTTATCAAGCTTCTTAAATGTCAAGCCACTGCTTCCAAAAAAAAAAATGAGTAAGCACTTTGATAACTATGAAACATGCAGGTTACAGTTGCAAACATTACATATTACCTTTCCTCCAGTATATCTCTTAAGGCATCCATAAATGAATCAAATCTCTGCCACATATTATTCATAAAGGTTAGAAAGGAACAAAATTCCAGGTCATATTGGACGTTAAGCAGCTTCATATATATATTGAGACAGCAATTTGTCATTACTGTTAGACAATAAGAACTACAATCACATACTTGAAAATGTGTGTAACTGATGAAGTAATCATATGACTTTTTAGGTATGCTAAACTTCTCATAAAATCTAAACCACTGTCTAAATCCATGTTTTGAATTAGACAAGTTTTTCTTACATGATATACTAAGAACAAATCCAATACTTATCTTTGTGTATGCATACCTTTTCTGGATATTGTTTTCATATTCATTCTACATGGTATTAGAAAATAGAATAGCTGGTATCTTGGCAGGATGTTTTAAAGGATATAGGCACAACACAAGCATCTACAGATTCGCTAGTGTATTAAACAAAAATCAGAATATAGCATCTTGACACTATGGCACTGAACCATATTCAGTGGTGGAGCTAGTAGTTCATGGGAGGGTGAACTGGCACAAACATGATTGTGTTCGAAATCAAGAAGGCTAATTTAGCATCTAGTTAGTGTATAGAAGGTAAAATCTAAATGCTAGTATTATTCTTAAGAAAAATTTAGCTAAGGGAGGGCCATGAACTTCTTTGGCTTCCTACCACTGAAGAACGTCCTAATAATGC